GGAAGGAAGGAAGGAAGGAAGGAAGGAAGGAAGGAAGGAAGGAAGGAAGAAAGGAAAGAGGGAAGGAAGGAAAGAAGGAAGGAAGGAAGGAAATAGGAAGGAAGGAAAGAATGAAGGAAGGAAGAGAAAGAGAGAAAGAAAAAGAAAGAAAGAAAAAGAGAAAAAGAGAGAAAGAAAGAGAAAGAAAGAAACAAGGAAAGAGAGCTAATTTTCACTGGCAAAAAGGAAGCAAAATTATCCCTCTTTTCAGAAAAGATGACAATTTACTCAGAAAACCTTGAGAATTAATGCAAATTATTAAGACAATAACTTCTGTAAAGAATCAGGACACAAACTACTTCCACAAAAAGCATCAACATTTCTATATACTAATGAAATCCTAGGCAAAAAGCAAAGAGAAATTCCATTTAATATAACTATAAACTACATAAAATCGGGGAGTTAACTTACCAAGACACATATAAGATTTAAATATAAATGCTACAAAACTATAAAACAATGTTTAGAGAAAAAATGGATCTAAATAATTGGAAAGATATTACGCGTTCATAACTAGACCATGCCAAAATAATACAAATTATTTTATTACCTAGATTAATTTGCAGATTTAGCACTAAAATTAGCAAATTACTAAGGAAATACTTTATAGAATTAGATCAAATAATAGTACAATTCATATGGTAGAACAAAAGGTCAAGAATGTTAAGGGAGATAATGAAGAATGTGTGGATGGAGAGGACCTAGCATTACCAGGTCTTAAACTACATTATCAAACAGTAATTATCAAAAATAATTTGGTACTTTTTAAAAAATAGAAAAGGACAACAATGAGAAAGACTAGATGAGCAGCAATTAGAAGCACAAGCAGCAGAGATGGTGACAGAAAAGGGAGCTTCCATAGTCAAAGAATTCCTCACCAAGTAGCCAATCTCTTGATGATGCTCCTCTTTGTACTTACTCTATACCCCCTAAACCAACTTAAGTTTATTGCCATAGTCATTCTTGAAAACTTTCCAACAGAGCTGGAAATTAGTATAACCTCCACAAGCCCACATCACCTCTGTGCCATAAAGCAGAAGTTGTGGTTTTTTAACTTAGTCAACACACAATACTAAAATGGGACCTTGTATTCACTTTTCAGTCAATTGTGTAACTGAAATCACTAGACTAGAAAGCACCTCTGAAACCCTACCTGTTTCCTTCAAGCATTTTTTATCAAGCGTACATTTAAAAAACAGATTGAGTATTCTCATATCTTATTGAGGTGTGAAGGTAGGCAAATGAGCTAATGCTTGTTGATTTGTTTCCTTCTTTTGTTAATAATTCCATTCCCTGGTTATTTTTTTCCTTTTTCCCCTTTGAAACATCTTGAAAATTAATCCCAGAGTGCCTTCAAGACTGTGTTACTTCCAGCACGATTTCTTCTATGTGTCCTGGACATGGTCCAATTGTTCTTCCAGACTTCTCCTTCAGTAACATTTCTACTTCATCACATAACAAAACGAGTATTCCTCCACAACACTACTATCCCAGTGCCTCTTTGTGGTTTGGAGGTCACCATGGGTTCTTGAATAATATGCCAGCCAGAGTATATGCTCTGTTAGGTTTCTGCCATGTTAGAAAGATTTCAAATACTGTCTTTATGACAGAGTGTACCTGAGGCCTTAAGGACGAACCTAGCCAAGTACAAAGAAGACTATCAAAGATAGATTAGCCACAGGGGATATTTTGGCCATGACAACATGTGAAAGAACAATACAAAAGTGGCCTCAGTCCTGAGTGGCCCTTTTCTGGTTCTTCAGTAATAGTGACAGGATGAAAGTAAAAGAGAGCAGAAAATGCTACGGTTCATATAAATTTTAGACAATCTACAAACATTAATTTAAATATTGGTACTACTACTACTAGAGAAAATTAATAACATCAACAAGGACATTCTCCTTAAAAATGAAACCATAAAACTAAATGGTTAATTTAAAATTTTTTTTCTCTTTTGTTTTTTAGTCATTTTTCATCTCTTTGACATTTCTACTTGTTATGTTTTGAGCAATGTGAGAAACCTACCTCCTTTTACTTCTCTGACTCTAATTCCTGGTTCAATTCATATGCAGTGAAATAAAAGGGCAGCTCACAGGTTCTCTTCAGAAAAACAAATATAGGAAGCGGCAAAGTTGGCTCCAAAACGTATACAAAGCAATAAGAAATATAATAGCTAATATTTACATAATGTTTTAAGGTCTGCAAATTAGTTGGCAAAATTATCTCATTTTATCCTCCTGATAACTTTGGGAGATAGGTGCTATCATTATCCTCATTTTACAGATGAGGAAAATGAGGCTGAAAGAGGTTAAATGACTTGCCATGGAACACACGGCTAGTAAATGTCTAGGGGAAGTTTTGAACTCAGTTCTATCTTGACTCCAAGTCTATCACTCTATCCACTGAACCACCTAGCTACCCACATAAACATCATCTCATTGTATACCTGATTATCTAATCTTTCAGTGCTTATGATGAACATGAACAAAAAGATCACCTTGACAAAAACTAAGGCTTATATGTAACTGTCACAAAAGACTGATTCTATAAAGAACTTAATGAAATCATGCAAACCCAGTAACATTTTCGTATTTGGGGACTTCAATGGGAAGTTGAGCACAATGGAAAATGTCAAAAAAAATAATTTGGAAAATAGATCCCAAGGATTGTATACCACTCAAAAAGCTTAGTCCTGTATATTACAAATAACTTTTTTCAAGTCAGAAGGAGTTAAATATGGTGAGCACTGAACGACGTCACAAAAAGTGAAATTGACTACATATTAACAGACAGAAAATGACTGATTTTTTTTTTGTGGGAATCGTTTCTGAATTGGTTGCCTCTATTCAGTGAGACCGTCTACTAGTTAGAGCATGAGTTAGAAATCAACAACAAATTAGAGTGACACATGTGAAAAATGTGGGCACCTAGGTGGTACAATGGATAGAGTGCTGGGCTTAGAGTCAAGAAGACTCATCTTCCTGAGTTTAAATCTGGTCTCAGACACTGAGAAGCTGTGTGACCCTGGGTAGTCATTGAACCCTGTTTGCCTCAGTTCAGGGAAGCGGTGTTTGCTTACTCAGCCAAAAATATCTGATATTTTTGTTTAATTTGGGGAAATTTCCAGGTTCATAGATATTCCAAGGCTCTCAGAGTTCTTGAAAACTAGTCTCCTTATAACCATGGTATATTGTATATTATAGGTAAAGAATTACTTCCAGAACATCTCCAACCATGTTGACTGCACTCAACTCTGCTGGAGCTATCTTCTTTACTCCTTCCCCACCTGAACATGGGATCTGTCCATAGAGCCATGCTGGGTTTTGGTGATCTAACTTTAACCTCATCTTACTTGGTTCCAAGCCTATATCACAAACACTTTCTCAACATCACTAGTTATACTACCTCATATATAATTCCAACCCCCCCCCTTTCCAGTTCCCCAGCTCCCACTTATGGACCACCTTTCCACATTAAAATGTAAGCTTCTTGAAGACAGGGACTGTCTTGCTTGTTTTTATTTATATCCCTAGTGCTTAGTGCAATGCCTAGCACATAGTAAGCACTTGATGCTTTATACAGCTGAATAATATATATTTGAACTGTATACCTTACATGCATGCTATTATATATACCAATCACAGTGGATCAAATGTGTATGATATTTTAAACATTTTGGTTATGTCCATGGATATTTTTGTTTCTTTTTCCTTACGCTGTAAAGACCTTGAATATAGTGAACACATTTTCAATTCCCTTCAGATTCTTAACTATACCTATTGTAGGCATAACACTAAGATATTAACTCATAAGAGCATCATTAAATTTTTACAATAGAACCCCTCTATGTACCAAGTCATACTATGACATCATTAGGCCAATCATGTGACATCAGGCCAGTTCAGTCCCAGCTCCCATCTGACTCTCGAACTAAGAACCCTCCCTACCAGGAAGGCTAGCATATCACTTCCCTCAACTCTATTCCTATTGAACCATCAGACCTCTGTAACATTGTTTCACCTAATGCCATTTTTAATGGAACTAATTCATAATGATGGGGACAGGAAGCAGTGTACCTGCATAATTCCATCCATACAAAGGGATTTCAGTAAATGTTACTGCAGTGACTGACCCTTCTCAGTGAAGAACTGGGTTCATTTTCTCAGACTTGCCTTCACTGATTTATCCAGTCAGTAGTGATTTTTGTCCTCAGCACCATTGTAAGCGCTTTGTTTTTTGCTGAATTGTATATTGCCTACATATATATATCAGAGTGGTATTGGGGGAAAAGAACTGACTTTTAAGCCAGGAAGTTCTATTCTGGCTATGTGACCCTGGGCAAGTCCCTTAACCTCTCGGTGCCCTTTTCAACTCTCATAAGGCTATAAATTGTACTGGCAGAGTGGACAGACTGCTGGCTAAGGAGTTCTCAGATACTTACTAGATGTGTAATCCTGAAATAATCATTTAACTTCTGTCTCAGTGTTTTTATCTGTAAAATGGGGATAACAATAACACCTTCATCAACCACCTTCCCAGCGTTGTTGTGAGGATCAGAGATAATATTTGTAAAGTGCTTTAAAACCTTCAAGTGTTATATAAACGATAGCTATTGATATGATGATGATGATGACAATGATGGTTGTCCACTTTGCCACCTAGTATCTCATGTGAGCTTTGGACAGACACACACTTTTCCTGTGGTTAGCAAAATATCAACAAAGAGACATATGTTTGGCACTTGCCTTGAGCTCATTGGTATCTGAGAGTTTGGCTTTGAGCTCGGTGTTAGATTCCCGGGCCACTCTCAGATCCTTCTGTAACCTTTCCACCATCTTCTGCAGTTTCCTGATGGTAAGGTTGGCCTCGTCCTTCTCCACAGCCAAAGCTGTGCGAACCTGCCTCTCCTCTTCCAGCTGAACTACCTTCTGCCGAAGAAGGTTCATGTGCAGCTCTCGGCTCTCCAGTCTTTCTTTCTGAGCCTTTAGCTAGTTTAAGAGAACAGGGAATTTTCTTTATAACTGAACACTCAGAAAATATAAGTGAATTACTGCTATCACATTGATCTTTATAGTTCAATAAGACTCATTTGTACCAACCAAAAAGGTTATTGGACTTCTTTTCCCTGATTGCATTTTTTATTCATTTTTCCAGGAATTAATTTCATGAGCTACGAAGCCCTAAACAAAAGAACCACAGAAAATGTGCAGAGGAGGCAGGCTTTCAACTCTGATTCTCCCTAGCATTAGGTGCATCATAATAAAAAAGTGAAATTGCATTTAAGACCTCGAAAATGGATTCATCAAGGGCAGACTATAACAAGACACAGAGAGACTCAATCCTCCACAAACCCAGTGGCAGGCCAACCCTGCACTGATTAATCTCAATCACAAAGTGTTGGGTTTAGTTGGCTAAAAAAATTAGAGTTATTATGTTTTTAAATTACTTTTTTTTTCAATCACCTTGCTCTTACTTGAAATGCCAGGGAAATTATTTTATGAAGCCTTGGGTTTCATTTAGTCAAAGAATCAAGCCTAAGAATTGAAAAGAACCAGAGAAGTCAATTAATCCCACTCCCACCAGATGGGTGAATCCCTCTACAAAGCTTGATCATTCCCCTCTCCTTGAAAAGCAACAGAAGGCTCACTCGTTACCTTTACAGGCAACCTGTTCCATTTCCAAGCAGCTCTAAATATTGGGAAGTTTTTCTTTATTTTGAGCTGAAATCTGGCTCCCTCTAACTTCTCCTTTGCCTGGTTTTGCTCTGTGTGGAGCCAGAAGGAATAACTCTTAGCCTTCTCCCACAAGACAGGCCTTCAAATGTTTGATGAAGTTATCAGGTCCCTCTAAATCCTTTCTTCTTTTCAACATCCAGCATGATGTAATGGAAATAATAGTAAGCTGAGAGTCAGAACACTCTCAAAGAAATCACAGGTCAGGCCCATATCTCTAACAGTCAGGTCCATATCTTTAACTGCACTCTCACCCGAGAAAAGATGGAGACTTGACCAACTTGGCCCTAGAGGCAATGGGGAAGAATTGCAAAGAGAAACACTGGGCGTGCTAAAAGGAAAAAAAAAATTCTCAAGAATTAGGACTCTGCACAATGCAAAAAGCTGGATGACCACTTAATCATATATGTTGAAGAGAAGATGCTTGTTCAGTTATGGGTTGTACTAGATTGCCACTAATGTCTTTTTCAACACTGAGATTCTAGGATGCTAACACTGCCTGAGAGGGAAAGTTATTGCAAACAAGGGAAGATCAGGGAAGACTTCATAGGGGAAGTAGAACTTAAATTGGGCTTTCAAGGATGAATAGGAATTCGACAAGTTAAGAATGATAAGAAGACATTCCAGGTATAAGCAATAGCATGAACAAAAGAACATAGGTTGAAAAGTTCAAGAGTTGTTCAGCAGAAGATTGTTAGACTGGGAAGTGATCATACATGTATGTCCATGCACATGTGTATATTGTGCATTGTGTAGGTACGTGTGTTTCTTATGAACGTGTATGTGTATCGATATACACATGTGTATACCCACAAGTTTTATGTGCGTATAAATATCTATATACAAAATCCATTTAAAAATAAATACAAGGTAGTACTGAGGAAGAGGCATTAGTAACCAGAGACATCAAAGAAGATTTCAATTAGGGAGCAATGTTTGAGCTAAGGTATGAAGGAAATTCAGGTTTTTTTGAAGCACAGGGGCGGAGAGATTGCCTTCCAGGCATAGAGATGGGCTGCAGAAATGCAAAGATATGGAAGATGGAGTGCTTAATATAAGGAACAGCAAGAAAATCAGTTTGACTGGACCCTTGGAGATATGAATGGGTAGTATCATATAATAATTCTGGAAATGTAGGCTGGAGCCAGGTTTCAAGGGACTTTAAAAGTCAAATAGTGTATGTTTTATTCTAGTAGCAAGGTAGAACCACTGATACTTTTTGAGCAAGGAAGTGATATGGTCAGAGCTGTGCTTTGAAAAAGTCATTTTGACAGCTGAGTATGAGGGGAGAGACAAGGCAGGGAGCCCAATTAGGAAGCCATTCAATAGTCCAGGCAAGAGATGATGAGGGCCTGAATTACAGTATTGGCCTTATGAGTAGAAACACAGAGACATATGCAGGAGATATGATGGAAGTAAAATCAGCAGGACTGGCATTTATTGGATATAATAGCTAATAACAATTAATTAGTTAAAAATAATAGCTAACATTTATATAGTGCTTACTACGTGCCAAGCACTATGCTAAGCACTTAACAATTATTATCTCATTTGATCCTTATAATAACCCTGGGAAGTAGATGCTATTATTATCCCCATTTTACAAATGAGGAAGCACAGGTTAAATGACTTTCCCAGGGTCACAGAGCTATTAAGTGTCTGAGATCAGATTTGAACTCAGGTTTTTCCCAGCCTGGAGCTCTATCTACTGTTCCTCTATCTACTGTTC